TGGGAATCTCTTCAGTTTCTAAGTCCTCATCTGTTTCCACTTGAATAGTGAATAGATGCATTATCATAAGTTTAATAAGGCCTGTACACTGGAGTCTATATATCCTCGCCTGATCTAGTGATTTCGGCATTGCCGAGCTTTCTATGATGTCAAATACCTCGCCTCTGTGCAGCCTGTATAGAATTGTATTCATGTTATGCTTAGACTAGAATATTTCATAATACATCTATATTGCTTAGATGTTAAGTTTCGAGTTCGATGGTAACGAACTCATATCTAGGACACTTTAATGTAAGACTAGTTTCAATAAACATGTAATGAACCAAAAAGCAGAACAGAGTACGATTTAAGGGTAGAATCTCTTAAAATACCACATGGCGACCCTGCCAAGATTCGAACCTGGAATTTTCCGATTTTCTATTTTTCATTCGATGTAATGTTGCTTTCAGTTTCTACATTTTCTATTTGTCTTCCTTGGTATCTTGGACTTTAGAACTGTGCAGATTTTTGTACAAATCTTGAACAACGGTTATCGTTTCTTTTTAGTTACTAACTGTAATACCAACTTTGTTGCTTATTTTGGGTACTTTTGGACATCCCATCCAATAGGGTAGTGGACAATTTTTTGAAATATTTTTTTTATTAATCTTCATTACAAAATAAACAATTGTTTATGATTCTTTGATTTTAGAAAACAAAAATATACGGTAAAAAAAATTAACAAATTTGTACTTATTTTAAACGCTATAATTTACCGCCAGGAAATTACGTCATAGCTGTTATTTATGCGTCCAATAGCGCGTCCTTATATTTTACATGCTTTTAGAAAAAGATGCCGATAAACTCAGTACGCACTGATTGTTAAATAGAATTCTCTCAAAAAGTGGGTTTATGTTGAGGGTGCGCCTAAATGTAATAATACCCGAGAGACGCTGATATATTTCTCTTTTTTGCACCAAAGAGTAAGTTTGTGTCGGATATCGGACGTAGGTTTTATTTAATTCATACTTAAATACAACAGCTATGACGTAGAATCAGGTCGCGAAATATTTCCATTCAAATAGTGCGTCCCAAAACTGTATTTTACCGCCGTTTTAAACAAGGTTAGTAATTTTATCTGAAATTCATCATATTAGTTAGGTTAGAATCGCAAATTGCCGCGGGTTCCTAGTTTAAGAATTAATACATTGATGTCTTATGGGAACTCCATTTTAAAAGCGTCTGTAGACGTGATAGAACGTTTGTTAGGGAAGTGAGTTGTATAAATAGTTTTTTTAATATGTTAATTAACTGAGACAGTGTTTGAAAGTTGAATAAACATTGTAAAAATAAAAATATTACCAATTTAAGAAGCCGATGTTTGTATAAAATACGTATGTCGTTGCTTGATCCACAAGTATATATGGGTACCCATAATTATAATAAAATAAAAGTGTACCTACATACTTGGTTAGTAGATGTACTTCAATAATCCAAAAAAATGGAAAAGAAATGACTGAGCTAGTGATAAATAAATAAATAAACAATTCACCAACAATCATAACACAACACACAACCTCACTTTCTTACAGCTGGTTCTAGACCCGACGTACGTCCACCGAAAACAGACACTTTTAATTAAAATCATTTGTATTTTTAATTCATAGGTCTAAGAAAACAATTAGAGCATGAATTATAGAGAAATATGTTCAAAGTTTGACGTATAATAGGTTCAAATACTAAGAAATGCCCAGAACCCAAGATATTCCCGTCTGAAAATCACTCTTTTGAATCCCCCATAAGAAATACATTGCTGTCAAATTTGTTGAAATGTGTTTAGGAACCCATTTTAAATTTCGCGCCCGATTTTTCCTAACCTAACTAATATGGTGAATTTCTTTTGATACGATTATTTTTTATTTACTCCATAGATGAAGAATAGATCATCGATTTCATTGAAATTATACCTTGTCCACTACCTTATTGATAATTTAGATCTCAGAACTTTCATACTTTTGTTGTTTTAGATTGTTTTTTTTTAATCACGATCACTTTAGTGTTATGATATCTTTGGTGTTTTGGAATGATTGGGTTGATTTCCTCGATAAGTTCCTTATGTCTTGGTTTTCAACATCTAACATGCAACATTTTCCTCTATAACATGGTAAAATGGTGAGATCCAAAAAGCATTTCAACAGTGGATAAACGGAAGAAGCCAGATATGTCAACAATCAACATTTATTTTTGTTTACAGTTTCATATTTCATGTATCAGTGGTAAAATATAATTACTGAAGAGTGAAAATTTATGACCGGGCATAGGCAGTGTAGGTGCTGCTATTATCAGTATTTTGGGCCCCGTCAAGTTAGCCCCCCACATTCGAATTTTCTAACAAAATTGAAACCACTTACTGTGCTGGAAGTGTGCTTCACTGTGCCGATGATATTTTGAACTGTGCCGTTCCGATACCAAAGTTGTAGTAGAAACAAGACTAAAATTTTGGAAATCAAATCAAACAAAAATGGATTCTTATGCAATCTGAAGTTTGCTGAACTGTGCTGTATCAGGTTTTTCTTAAAATTTCCATATTCGGTAATTTTCAGACAAACTCCTGCTGGGGGGCTAACTTGACGCTCAGCCCTCCCAAAATTTTATAAATCAAATCCATCAAAAATTGATTTTTATGCAATCTGAAGTGTGCTGAACTGTGCTGTATCAGATTTTTCTCAAAATTTCCGTATTTGGTCATTTTCCGAAAAAATCTTACTGGGGGGCTAACTTGACGCTCAGCCCCCTCAAAGTTTTGGAAATCAAATCAAACAAAAATGGATTCTTATCTAGTGCACCAGTGCAAATATTTAATCGCTCGGAGTGGGTGTGAGTGAGTGTCACACCAGTGCAGCACTTTTTTGCGAACGGATTTCGCTATTAAAGTGTATCCTACAAAAAATTAAAATTCAGTCTAGTCTAGACTTCTGATTGAATAGGAATCCATTTTCGTTTGATTCTATTTTCAAAATTTTGGAGGGGCTGATCGTCAAGTTATCACCTCCAGTAAGATTTTGTCGGAAAATGACCAAATTTGGAAATTTTGAGAAAAGCCTAATCAGTACAGTCCAGCACACTTCAGATTGAATAGGAATCCATTTTTGTTTGATATGATTTCCAAATATTTTTTTTTTTTTGGGAGGGGGCTGAGCGTCAAATTAGCCCCCCAATAAGATTTTGTCAGAAAATTACCGAATATGGAAATTTTGAGAAAAACCTGATACAGTACAGTCCAGCATACTTCAGATTGAATAGCAGTTTATTTTTGTTTAATCTGATTTCCAAAATTTTGGGGGGCTGAGCGTCATTTAGCCCTCCCAGTAGGATTTTGTCGGTAAATGACCGAATATGGAAATTTTGAGAAAAACCTGATACAGCACAGTTCACCACACTTCAGATTGCACAAGAATCCATTTCTGTTTGATCTGATTCCCAAAATTTTGGGGGGCTGAGCGTCAAGTTAGCTCCTTCCAGTAGGATTCTGTCGGAAAATGACCGAATACGGAAATTTTGAGAAAAACTTGATTCAGCACACTCCAGATTGCATAAGAATCCATTTTTGTTCGATCTAATTTTCAAAATTTTGGGGGGGCTGAGCGTCCAGTCACCCCTTCATCTTGTTTTTCCTATAACTTTGGTATCGGAACGGCACAATTCAAAATATCATCGGCACAGTAAAGCACACTTCGAGCACAGTAAGTGGTTGCAATTTTGTTAGAAAATTCGATTGTGGGAGGCTTACTTGACGGAGCCAGTATTTTGCTTCTTGCCTTTTTTACTAATATCTTGATTTGAATAACAACTAATTTATGTTCAACCAACATTTCAAATAGAAGATTCTAATTTGTTTCGTTCTTTTTTTCACAAATTTCTCGGACGATGATGGTTTCATACATATATGGCGGCCATCGATAAACAATCAAAGCGGTGAACCAGCCGCAGAAAATAGCATCTCAGGGAGCATGGAACATGAACAGCGGCAATTTAAATTATTGAATACTTACATGGGTGCCGGTGTACACACCGCAATTTGTTACGGGATCTCGAAGGAATTCAGCGGGTTGTGGAAATTACCATGCAAAAATATTCGGTTTAGCTTTGTGTGAGGTTTTTGTGAAGAAACAGTTATATTGGTAGCTACACCAGGTTATGAAAACTCAAAGAATAAAATGATCGTATAAATTCCACTACTCCGTTTTCTCTGAACCAAAGATGGTAACTCGTCTAATGAAAAAAAAAAATTAACCATTTTATGAGATTAGAAGGCAACCCAATTTATTCTTGAAACCGGATTAAGAGCTTAAGCTAGTTTTATTAGGTTTTGGTTCATATTTGATTCAAACGCTTTAATTGGTGATTTACTCTGGCAAGCAAGTAAAAAGACTTGAACAAATTCTCACAGGTGGATATCAGTTTCATTTAATCCATCCAATTAACTACAACTTGCCTTTAAAAACTTTTCATTCTTTCATGTACAAGGTCACAAAAATTCGACAGCATGAATCAAAAGCGACGCTTCATTAAATCTGGCAGGATCGAGTAATGGATTTCTGAACGGGGAAAAAAAAAATTCAACCAAGAAAATACAACTTTAATTAAACCGTTTTTCTGGTTACTGGTTCCAACCGTAAAATTTAATAACAAAAAATCGAACCCGATGGTTCAACTCTTTTGCCGGCACCGGTTTTTATATTATAAAATTATTAAAGTGAAATGACGTATTGTGTGAGTAGGTACCGCGTAATTTCTTTTCTTTTGTCTTCGTTAAGGATAAGATGATATAATGACGTGACAAGATTGTTTTTTGTGATCTGCTAAATTCTTGCACCTGAGCTGGGTTAGAGTCTAGGATATATATATTTACAAAGTTTATGCTTAATTTCATTGTGAATTAGGACAACATCCAGCATTAACCAATAATAGTACGTTAGATCAATAAGTTAACTATGAAAAAATTGTTTTTATCGACTTACCGTCCATCGAAAAGTAAACGGTAAAACCATTCGTCCCCGTTCCGGATCGGCAATAGTGAAAATATCGCGTCCCAACACCTGGCTGGACGTGTTCCCGAAGGAACACGTTCCTGTACTGGTAACGTTGCTCTGGTACTCCTTCAGACATAGCCGGAAGAACGTCTGGCAGGGCGTGGAACAGCGATTCGTGATCGGATTGTGTTGGCCTCCTCCGCAACACTGTCCTGTGGATAGTTCGCTGCGTGGATTTGACATTTCCAAAACTTGGAGTTCGAAGATTCCGACGCCATAAGTTGTCTGGAATAGAAGCAAAAAAAAAACGTGTATTAGTTTATTATGGAGTAATATTTTCTTCGAAATTGGTGACGATAATTGTCCCTGTGAGCGTAAAAGTTAATTAAATTTTTAAGCATCAGCCTCTTTCTGAGAAATTCTGTTTAACGGCTTTTAAACGCGGTTCTAAAGTGCATATGTGCCTCGGTTTTAATTCCCTCTCTCTGTAACATTCTTTCTTATATTTTTATCTTGGCGATGATCATCATCAAGTCAGTTTAGATCTATTAAAGTGAAATATACTCCTGGCCATAATTCTAAAAAAAATTCTTGAAGAATTTCTTAGTAATAATTTTTATTTTTTGATATAGCTATAGTAGCACAAAACTATTTATGACCTGTATGAGCCCATACAACCCCCAAGATTTAATAGCTCTATTACGAGGTGTGAAGTGCAATATTTCTACCTGGCAAGCTATAAAATGTTGATTTTATTTAGACATTTCATTAAAAACAACTCCCTAGGTGTCAAATAAAGTTAATGTTAATTTCTTAATAGAGGTACCTCCAATTTGGGGCTGAATAATTTCACATGTCTCTAGAAAAAAATACAAATTCCAAATTAATCTATAAAACTGTTCCATGGTTCTTTTTCTTAAAATAAAAACCTATTGGCTAGCCGTTCTCGTGAACTTCAAAGATAATAGGTGTGTTATTAAATACCCTTTCTGCTATGTAATTGGATGGAAAATAAAACAAAGTCAGCAAGAAGCGAAATAACATGGTGTGTGTGTGTGCGAACTTTGGTGTGCATGAAGATTGTGGTAGTTTGTAGGATTGCAAGTTGCTCGTCCTAATAAGATAAATAAAGGAGCTTTTGAATCTGGATTATTATTTGTTTTTATATTGCAGTTTATCACGAAATTGTCTCTAGATGTTTTTCCTGAACTGGTAGGAGCCCCATCTATAGGTATGCCCAGTCAAGAAAATATTGAATTTTAAATATTTTCCTCATTTATTCAGTAGTTTGGGTAAGTTCCAAATTACGTAGTTTTTGTCCAGAATTCCTGTCAATTTCTGTCGTGGCATTTGTTCCATCATATTAGTTTTTTTTCTGAATCTGTTGAGGTACCTAGATAAAAAACAAATAAAGTGGTACCTATGCTTCTTTGATTTTACTGAGCTCCTCTTATAGTTAACTTTAACATTTTTAAGAGATCTTGCCTTGTGGAGCAGTTCTCCAGTAGATTTCAAAGTTAGTGTTTTATTCCATGAGATTCAACAAATTATTCTATGAGTCTAATATGGTGCATGACATGGTTTTTCCTACACGCCAATGAGACACAAAGTTGTTAATTTTTGACAAAATTACATTGGTGCGGAGAAGCTGATGTCACTGTTAGGACCATAGGTAAATATTCACGAATTCGTTCCATTGTGTGATTTGTCAAACCAGCATTTACCTTGTTTCTATATAGAAAGTACAATGAACAATGGTTGTGGCTAAAGGATTAATTGACGTATTGCATGGTCCTGCCTTAGACCCGAGATACTTTTCCGCCAGTTAGAGCGTCATTATGATGATCAACACCGAAGCCAGTTTTACCAGGAACAAGACAACAGAAAGCTGTGGAAAGCTTACAAGAATGAAATACCGATATCCATCGTCTGGTTAATCTAGCATACACGAAATCAACAGCAGAAATGTGAGGACAACTAACGGCTGGAAACTTCAATAATGGGATAAAAGATATGGACATACCGAAATATAGGAGAAGAAAAAAAATCAATGGAAGAAATCAAAGACACACTTATGAAGTAACTTCTGGTAGAGTTTCCAAAGGTTGTTACCGGAATCAATCGGAGGAAAAAAGACATCGCCACCAAATGGGGAGCTAGAAAAAGCTGCGGAAGAAGTGAACATTTCAAATAGCCTAGTAAAATTGATCTGGCACCTCAAACAAATTGCAATATAATTTCTTTGAGTGGTTTCCTGATGGAAATTTCCTGTAGAAAATGTTGGTGAAAAGTCTACTACTCTAAAGTGATGCGTTTAATCAAAATAGCGGAATTTTCAAAATGACTGTCCATTATTCGAGACAGTTATAATACACATTTGATCATATTATTATTTAATAATGTGAATAATGATATTTTCTGTTATCGTTCGATCATAATAGATATATTACAAATTAAGTGTGGTAAGTGAGATTCCAGCGAACGCAAAGTGAAGTTTACCAAACGAGCCGCAGGAGAATTTTTCAAACTTTACTTTGCCTGCGCTTAAAATCTCACCACGCGAGTTGTGAATACAATTCAATTTTATCTAAAATAAATGAATGTGGTATATAAGTATCATTTCACACACTAGTGCGGGAAAGATATTTTAAAAACACTAGTGCATTAAAGAGGTAGTTACCGCACAGTAAATTTCACTACTTCAACCTCCATGGCCATTCATTGCACAATTATCAGAAAAGTTACACGAAGCTGGGTGTGAAACAAAACAATCTCAGAGTGATGCAGACGTCTTGATCATTATGGATGGTAGAGAGTCGGCAAAAAGTCATCCTACAGCTATTGTTGGAGAAAAACTTATGTGATATTCTTCTTTGCCCAGCCTACAAATCTTCCAAAACCATAGCTATCTACTGACGTCCGCTCACATATCTTATTTGCTCATGCCATATTAGGAGGTGATACCATCTCGAAACCATTTGGATCAGGAAAAAGTGACTTCAAAAAACTGCTAAGAAAATCAGACATCTTCAAAGAAAGTGCCATTTTCCAAACTTCTCCAAAATCCACAGAAGAAATCTCAAATGCTGGTATGAATGCCATTATATCTTTGTATGGAGAAAAAACTGGAGACAGCACATTACATGATATGAAACATCGGACTTTTACTTCAGAGGCAACAATCCATGTCAACTTTTGCCTCCTACAGAGAATGCAAGCAGATTTCATTCCTTCATGGTATATCATCAAGTGCAACAGTGGATGGGTATTCATATAATTCCATTACAGTGTGGATTTGAAGTAAAGGATGGAAGCTTGTCTCCTATTAGAATGAGTCAAGAACCAGCACCAGCTCATTTACTGAAATTTGTAAAATGTGTCTGTATCAAAGGTCAATATGGAAGTCTGCAATGCAAACGATAAACAATACTATGCCCAGATGCGTGCACAGGCTGCTGCAATTCTATGGAAGTGGACATGGACGATGATTGAGAGAAAACTATTATTATGAATGAATGAACAAATATTGATGAATAAATATTTTAAAAGTATTTTAAATGAATGAACAATAACTACTCACAAATTGTATAATGCTCTATATACCACACAGGGGCATGCGGTGCATCGAATTTGGGGAAGCTATGACTCAAGTATCTTGTTTTCTGAGGCAGTATGTAACGAGTTTCTGATATATTTTTGAACCTATGTAAACATGCTGTCCGGGAAACAAGCATCAAGCTACATGTGTCATAGCTTCCCCAAAATCCATATACCGCACGTGTCCAATCCCCCAAAAATGTTAAAACTGTGTGTAGCCTACTTTTATATAATCATTATTGTTTATTGTGTTAATCGTTTACGGACTGGATTTTCAATTCCAAGTTCTAATATCTAATGTATCAAATAATGTTCAGGTATTTTGGAAAATTCGCCATTTTGGATAAATGCGTCATCATAGAGCGGTAGACTTTCCACCATCGTTTTCTACAGAAAATTTTCATTAGCAAACCACTCACAGAAATTGTATTGCAATTAGTTTAACGATAGCCCATTTTTCGTGCTAATTTGCCTATACTAAAAGGTGACTGTACAATACGGCTGAGATCTCGCTCTCCTTCTGGTGACACTCTTCATATTGTAGAAATTGCAATAGTGTGATTTCCATATCAAACGTCATTCTGGAAAAGTACAGAAAAACGCAGCAGCTACCTTTTCCAGACGACCATGACCAGTTCAACGCAATCAGTGGCTCCGAATGGATCAGTGTAGAAGAGTTCCTCTTAGAATCCTTGGATTAAGAACGGTGTTCCGAACAGTGATGTTTGAACCAAAAAGAAATCAGCAAACGATCCAGGAACAAGAAGATCGGCGGAATACGGCTGCTGATCGAGAAGGTCGATACCTATCATCCTTAAAACAGACGTTACTAACGAATACTACGAGTGTTGATAACATCGCAGTCGACAAGGAACAGGTAGCCAATCTTCCATGCCATGACGTCAGTCCATATTAGGAAGTTGAACCACACAAAGGGTAGATCTGGATGGACAGGCGTAGAGAGATGGTAAACATATGAATAGATGGAATGATAAAGATGGATTTCGAGAATGACGGAGAACATAAATCTAGAGGACATTATTAGCAACGACATGGTTCTATGAAGGATCCTGAAAATTATAGTATTGCTGGTACTACAGAAATAGAGAGCAATAGATAGAATTATGGATCAGATTATGATTATAGATATAGACGAAGAAGAGAGGTATTGTTTCTTTCCAACTTGAAGGCTTATCACGAGGATACCTGTTCAGATCGAGAATGATTTGAAAGGCAGGCAAGGCGGTTTTATGAAATTACCGAGAACATTAGTAGAAAGCTTACAACAGTATAATAGGGATATCCGTCGTCTGGCTAATTTCGCGTACCCAGAATCAACAGCAGAAATACCGGCCGGAAACTTCAATAATGAAATAAGAGATATGGATATACCGAACCATAAAGTAGTAGAGTAGGTAGCTCTAATCAAAGCCTTAGAAATCAAAGCGTCCTGATAACATATCCCAACCAAAGAGAGCGTGTAAATACGAGAAGAAAAAATCAAAGACACAATAATAAAGGAACTTCTGGTATAAAATTACGAAAGGTTGTGAAGAGAATCAATCGGAGGAGCATGAGAGAAGACACCGCCAAATGGGAAATTTAAAAAAGTTGCGGAAGAAGAGGACATTTCAAAGGTGACTGTAGAGTACGACTGAGCTCTCCTTCTGCTGAGAACCTTTAACTGA